AGACGTAGATTGATACCCAACCGTGGAACTTTCTATGGTGCGTTTAGTGAAGAACCCACTGCTGGTGATGTGTAATTTAAGTCTTGGTTCATGCATCCAAATGTCTAAGGAATGTACCTTTACAAGGAGTTTGACAGGAGTGAAACTTTCCCCAAATTTTGACAGTAGTGATTCTGCTGCTGAGTTTTTAAAAAAGAATAATTTGTGGTAGTTTTATAGTATTTAAACAGCAGCTCTAAAACCAGCAAGAAGATTTTTCTTTGTGCAGTCTTCCTGTGAAAGATAAATGAATGGTACCTTACTTCACTTGAGACTTCAGTAACATTTTGATATTTTCTGTCTGTCTGCACACAACAGTTAACGTTTGAGCCGACAGAAGATACACTGTCAGATAATCTAGCTGCAGTTCATATTGAGATGGAGAGTTTAATATTTATATTATATTATAGAATATAGTATTTTATTCTACTCTGCTGTATGTATGTGTTTTCCACTTTTCTTGACTGCACCACTTTTTATTGTAACATTGAATTATTTCAAATAATTAAAGTTTGATATGTCGTTTGCATGATTTGATTTTGTGAAAAAAATCTTGGGTACCGCTCCTGCTAAGCATCCAATGACTGTCTGGTTCTTGTGTCACTACCAACTGTAATTACACAGTGTTAGGTAAGGTCTTGAATAAAATGCTGACTTTGATTCTTGCCTCTATGTTATGCGTTGATAGTGATCACCTGCAAAATATGGCACTGTGTACTGACAAATTGTGGAGTGCACTTTTACATCACTGCAGCAAGGTGAGGGGTCAGGTCGTCCCGGCCTTTCTGTGGGGAGTTTGCATGTTCTCCCCTTGTCTGCGTGGGTTTCCTCCGGGTGCTCCGGTTTCCCCCACCATCAAAAACATGTTAGGTACTCCAGTCAGTGCCACTGACTAGACACTGATATATACATCTGGAGTTGGTCCCCGGGCGCTGCACAGTGGCTGCCCACTGCTCCCTTGAGGGATGGGTTAAATGCAGAGAATGAATTTCACAACATTTATGTGACAATAAAGGTATCTTCTCTTCTCCCTGTCTGCATCCTGATCTTCTTTTATAAAGTCTATGATCCTGATGCATTTAACATAGCATTAAATTAAGCTATGATTAATTGCATCCATGCACATTCTTTGTTATATACTTTTGAAAGTTTGCTGTGATGTGTAATAATTTTAACTTTTAAATGTGAACTTTACTGTGGTTTCAAGAAAGAGTCGCTAATTGCTACAGCAGTACCTGGATTCTTAAAATGAACAATAAAAAGATGAAGAAAAGACCAAAGAGACAAAATGCCTGAAAGTTCATTGTTTTTATGATTACATTTTCTTGAAAAACTTTAAATGTATTACCTATGCAATTTAAAACATACCTAGTACAGACAAAAAAGAAAACATTAAAGAAAGAAGGAAGGTATGTATAAAATAAGAGGAATCAGGAAAAATCTGATTTAGTCACCTTGAAACCGAGTAAGCTTTTATAAAGTTTATGTACAGAATTTTTAAGGATATTTTTTTTCAGGCTCTTTTTTGGGGCTACTATTACAGTTCGTGGGGTCCTTTTACGTCACACAACGAACCAACGCCAGATAGTTAGCATTAAGGTAGCATAAAGCTAACGTACATACTGCGGTTATCTGAGCGGCGATAGAGGAGTAATTTGATGGTGGAGGTGCCTAAGTCAAGGCTGCGGTGAACTTTTTAGTGATTTGTCTGAATAAAGTAGTTGAAGGTGGAGATTTGCCGTGTAGAGTGAACATGTGGAGCTCCGGCCGCCGTGTCCTTCAGGAGCTGCTCAGCCAGCCTGCTGTCAGGAGCTTCTCTCTGACTCCTGCTCAGGTCAGTGCCTCTGCACATTTTACTTTTAAAATAATAAAACTCTGTCAGTGTTTGAAACTCTGTTTGCGTCTTGGCACAAACTAAACAGCACTCAGTAATTTGTTGGTCTTTGTTTATGATAAAAACATGTCAGATAACTTAGCTGTTGTGGTTTACTTTACAGGTGTAACGTAAATTACATGAATTAACTTTATTTTTTACAGAAAAAGAACAGGCTGTTTTAGAAAAATAGCTTTAAACTTATGGATACATTGTTGTAAGCAAAAAAATGTAATTTCTTGTTACAATGCTTGCATGGGCGAATGAAGTTAGGTCTGAAACTGTCAATTCAGAATCAGCTGTACTGCCAAGTTTATTTACACATATAAGGAATTTGTTTTGGTGTGTTAGTGCGCAACATTTAATAGTACCTACAAATATAGTAGGTAGATAAAATGAGTACTGCAGGTCAAGAATCATAACTATAAAAGAAAAGAATAATAAATAAATGTACAATATGGCTAATAATCTGTCAATTATGTGTGTGTGTTAGTGTGTGTTGTGTGTAATTAATCTTTTAGTCTATAAAATACTGAAAAATATTTATACCTTCCAAAGCCTAAGATTTCTTATTTAAATCGCCTGTTTTGTCTGACCAACAGTTCAAACCACAAATCTCAATTGTTGATTAATTTTCTGTTTATCAACTAATCTAATCTTTATCCTTTTAGGATATTTGTTGTGTTCAGAAGAGAAAGTTGTTAACACCCTTCACAGGTGTAACATATAGGTGTCAATGTCATCTGACTGATATTAGCTTTAAGAATCAACATTGATATTTTATATTCATTGCTAATAAATATATATATATATATATAAAATATACTTGTTTTGTACCTGCCTTTGCAATAACTCTTTTATAAATGACATGTATACTAACAGGTGGTGGGCAGCATGAGTGGGGAAAAAATAAAGAAGGGTCCACAGAAACAAACCGGTACACCCTTACTAACACCCCCACTACAGTGTTTAGCTGGAGTTAACAAATCCACATAATTGGCATAAATTGCAGCTTATTGAAGGCTACAGTTCACTTATGTGAAAACATTTGCTTTTATAAAAGTGTGTGCTTTGTTTCTGCAGAACACAGTGGTGGTGGAGCGCTGGTGGCAGGTGCCCCTTTCTAAAGTGGGCAGTCCACCGAGGCTTCACCCCCGAAGACACAGAATCTACAAGTTGGTTGAAGACACGAAACAAGCTCCCAAGGAGAAGATGGAGCTCATCCTGACTCAGACTGTACCCAGTGAGTATCTATAGTGCACATAAACCTCCCGACTCGTGAGCCGCAACAGGAAGCTATAAAATGCATTTACACCTTTTCTTTGCACTAATAAAACTCTTTACATTTTGTTCCGACAGAGCTTGGTGGGCGAGGAGACACTGTGTTTGTGAAAAAGTCTGTTGGCAGAAATAAGCTGCTGCCTCAAGGCCTCGCAGTGTATCCATCACCGGAGAACAAACAGATATTTGCTGAGGAGTTAAGAGTATGTATTGCATTTTAATACTGTCATTTATCCTCCCACCACACACACACACACACACACACACACACACACACACACACACTAGACAGCAATGTACAGCTTTTGATTATTGTCACCTTTTTTTTATCAACAGCTTTTGCGTGAGGGGAAGCCAGAGGAAAGAGTCCAGACCCGCACTGGACAATTGGTGAGTTTTCATCTACTGAGGTTATTTGAAAGCATTTGCAGACTAACAGCTGTCAGTTGTTGTTTTTTTTTTTTTAAACAAAGCTGTCCTGATGTTTTCATTCAGACAGTAGAATTCCTTAAACGCTCCATGTTGAAGATAAACAAAATGCCCTCAGATGAATTCCAGGTCACTAAAGAGGTTGTCTGCAGACAGTTTCTCAAGAAGGTATTTTCTTTTCTATCTCCCCTGCAGTAAATTACACTGAGAAATGTCCTATTTTACATTAAGCCAAGTGCTTCTGCTGAACATAAAGGTAATTGATTTGACTGACTGTAATAACACTTTTCCTTAGCTGGGAGTTGTTGTGCCACCTCAGGCACTGAGTCTTCCATTTGAGTCTGTCAAGGATTTGGGCGACTACTGGTGTGAAGTTACAGTAAGAAATGTTCTTTTTCAGTGCATCATTTTATTATAAAACACTTGCAGCAAATGTAGTTAGACACTATGTGCATTTTCAGTATCTAGTAGAAATTGAGTTGTCGCTCATGTTGCAAGAGAAACTATTTTTGTTATTCTTTCAACATTCAGCAGCCACATAAGAAATAGCCAACATTTTAAGTACAAAATTTCATAAGTTTCATGTCACACTCCCACAATTAAAAAAATTAAAAATGGCACTAAACAGAAGCAAGTTAAGGATGTTAATCTACCAAAGACCTGCTGCTTATTCTTCATATTTTTATCTTCCAGGTAAATGGAATGGACACAGTTCGCGTCCCTGTGTCACTGGTGCCATACGAAGACTTATCTGCACGTTATCAGCAGCACCTGAAAATACAAACGCAGCTGCAGGCAGCCGCAGCTGTTTCAGAATCCGCTGTTGAGGAGGAAGCTGCTGGGGTGGCAGTTTCTGACCCCGCAGTGGAAGCTGAAGCTGGTAAAGACTCTGTGAGTCAAGTGAGCAAAGCTTCAGACTTGGCAGGAGCTGCTGGTGCTGAGAAAACGGCAGCAGCAAGTACACAGACGAGTGAAGACACCACAGCACCACCAAGTGACAGCTCCAAAAAAGATTAATGGACTCCAAATGAAGACATTCATAGAACTGCAATATATTGTTGATCTGTAACACATTATACATGCATAAAAACAGTTGTCTGCGTGGTTATTAAAATGTTTTCATTCACTTCAAGGGTTTATCCTTCTCATGTATGTGGACGTGTCCGTAAAAAGAATACAGTAATGTGTACGAATATTAGAGCTGAATGTTAATCCAACTTTGAACCACTGTCATAAACCACTGTCACTGCCATACTTCACTCAACAGTGTTGGTGGGGGGGGGGGGGGTAGTTACTATAAACTGATCTTTTGTAACCATACCTTCATCATTGTGATACGTAGACATAACCAAAAAAAAGACCCAGTTGTATTTGAAGGTATGGAGCCAGGCAAGGAAAACATTTATTCAGTAATTTTAATTGCACAACACGCAAAAAAGTATAGAATAAAAGTTTTCTCAGCAATGCTGTCAAACATGTTAAGTCACTGAATGAGGAATGTCAGTGCCTAATACAAGTATATGCTTTGTCAATCTTTACATGAAAGCTGTTTGTGTTTGTCTCAGGAGAGACAGTGAACATTTTAAAGAATTGTTCTCATTATTACATCCAAACTCCCTTTGCACTTTCCAAGAGATGTCAAGGGTAAAGCTGGAACTCACATTAGTTTAAGCTCTTTAAGTTATATTCCCGCCTCTAGTATACATGTGAGAATATGTAATCAGACTGTCAGCTGCTTGCTTTGGGCTGTTTGGCCAGTGCCAGGTGTGTAAATACGCTGTGGCACACGCTCTGCGGCCACTATGTACCATAACTATGAAGTATGGAGGGAATAGATATCCCTGGACTGCTGGTATGTTTCTGCCAAACAGAGCAAGTTTTTGAGGCTGATCAGGTTGTGCATGTGTTGGTACAGTAATGGTGGAAGACTCCAAAGCCACCGCCACACCTAGCCGTAGTTTACATATGAAGCTCTCTACCAAATCCCATGTGTAATAAAATATAATGCATGTAGAAGCAACCTAATGAGTTTAGATTTATGCCCTATTTCCTTCTTGGAAAAGAAAAACCATACTGAAGGGTGGACTACTCATTGCTTTGTTAAAGGAGGAGGAAGCCATTACAGCGTAAATAAATGTCAGTGCTTCAATGAAAAGCCATTTAAAAGGCTGCTTCGCAGGATGGGAAAGACTGACGCAAGACCGATCTTTACAGCTATTATAAAAGGAAGCATAAACCTGCAATATTCCCCACAGATGGAGAGACTGGCAGCATTTAGTTTCACCACACTGAACAGTTCATAGCAGTTTCCCTTAACAAAAGTCTTCAGCGTGTCTTAAAACATTCTGGCTCACTGGCAGCGGACAGGCCACATACATAGATATTCTAGATTTGGTTTGACGGCGGAATTTTCCTAAAACTGGAAACGGCAGAAAGAAAGACCTCAAAAACAGTCTAAAATAAAAACTTAAAGTTGACATGAATGCATTCCTATCTTCAAGCTAAACTAAAAAGACCCTTTATTAGGATTTAGAAGAAAACTGAATCTGTAAGATGTGTAACGGATGCAACTCAGGAAGAACTCAGGTAAAGGTAGATGGTGTTCGGGCCTGGTGGTAGCTAAAGAACCAGCTGAAACTCAAATGCACGTTTGGTTCTCTGGCAATTCATTTATATAAAACTTCTTTAGAACAGACTTAGACGCAGGTATGCTCCTTCACAACTTCAGGATGTAATAATAGCTACTGCAACATGTATTCAAGCATCATCATATTTATTATTTTTTTTACAAAGTTGTTGATTCAATGTATAAATATATCATGTGTCACAGCCTTCGAATGACTCCAGGTCATTTTCTCATTATCAAGGGCAAAAATTGTACGAACGTGACTACCAGAGAACCAAACCTATTTTGTAGAGTCATTGTTCGCTGTTATGAACAGGAAGCATACACATTCAAAAGGAAAACATGCCACAGGTACCTTAAAAACACGGTTATGAAGGTATAGTGGCTACATTTACTGTGACTGGATACGGTACAGGAGTAATATCTTATAAAACTGGTGACCAAAAGAACTACTGAGTATTACCAATTCAACACAAATATAGGAAGAGGGAGGGCAGGATGGAAAAATCTGTATTAGGGTGTGTATAGTTTCTTCCCAAACACAATCTGGAAAGCTCTACTCTACGTTCTGATGCAGGGTTTCCACGTGCCTCCAAAAGTCCACAGTATAACATTTAGAAACCATATTTGGCCTGGGTCTGCCGGCGGGTTAGCTTGTTTTCTGCCCAGTTGTTCTTCAGCTCTAACTCCCGTTCCTTTGCCTGTAATAGAAGAAAGTCACATTAAAATTTGTGGTAAGCTTTCATAAGACTAAACAGCATACATGAGAGAAATGATTGTAAGTGAATTATTTAAGTTTAACCTATTTTACTATGACACAAAAGGCCAAATCAGTTTTCATTAAATTTCAAGGTCAACAATGTAAAAATTGCGTGTGGCCAATGTGGGATTTGTACACAAGTTTAATTATGGGGGTCAGACTACCAGAGATATCTGAGGAAAACCTTAGAGAACCGTTTAGAGAAGCCAAAAACCAGAGCGAGTACAAAGACAAATGTAAGCTCTGAATACCAACCTGCTTAACAATGCAAATATAAATCTCCACTTTGAATTCCATCTTTGGTGTGTAAAAAATCACTGAGTTGTGGTGAAGTTTTCCTGCAGCTTATTATATAAACCCCAGGCAGTAATCAACACAGGGCTTGAAGTTTGCTCTGTACAAACAAGTATGGTGGCGAACAACCTGGAGCTGAACATGTGCAGACCTGTCACACTGAAAGTGCAGACTCTTGGTTGGTATAGAAACTCTGACTCCCATCCTGCTACCTATCAACTTCAAAACAAACTAAAATATCATTAGTGAATTTCAAATATTCCTGAGTCAGTCTTGCAATGAATTTAAATGAACTCTGCTTTAAGTAAATACTAAACTATGATGTAGCATTTCAAAGACTACACTGACGTTTGGGTAAATACCACCTGTTGATAGAAGAAAAAACAAACAACTCTGGGTTACTAAATAGTCAACTTTTTAGGTTAAACAATGTTAGATGAATATTGGCACAGGGTGACTTTGTGCAGACACACTAATGTATGTATGAACAACTTCTCAAATACTAGGTGTAGTCTTTTAAAGGCCCTTATACGCGTCTGCACAGATGCTCCCTACACCTTTGCTATCATGAGCAGATGGCAAGATTTACAGCACACAAATGTGTAAAGTATCACTTCTGCTTTCACAGCACTCACCTGGTGAATGAGATACGTTATCTGATGCTTGCGTCGCTGTTGTCCTGTCGGCTGCTCTCCTTTTTTCTGCAAAAAGTAAATGTTACATTAAGTTAAGTGTGTTGTGATGCATGTGTTTCTTTGCTCTGCAGCGGTGGATTAAAACTGCCATGAATCAGGCCATGAAATATTTTTAGATTCCACCATCAATTATTTTATGGCTGGCTTTTTATGTTCCCAGTCTCAAGTGTAAATCAATAGTGAGCAAAAGCACACACAATCCTTCCACTTTCCAGAAGCTGAGTTAAAACCTGACACCAAACCCGTCAATTGCGGGTCCCACAGTGATAGACATGTAGTCAGGTCACCTTGCTAAAGGACTGACGGTTCTGCTTCTCTTCTGTCATGCTCTTGGTCATCCACTGCTGGTTGCCACTCAGCTGGTCGTCCCCTTTGATCTCCAGAAACTTCACCTCCTCTTTGCCCCTGTTCCGTTTCCCCTGCAGCCGCATGAACTGGAGCACAGGAAGAAAATCAGTCAAACAATGTTTTCAACCTGGTATGAAGGTCATACTGCTGCAGCCCCATTTCACATATCTTTTGAATTAGGAGCTTGTTGAAACTAAATTTTTGGGAATGAACCAGATAAATTGCAATAATATCCAGAATGAACCTACTTATTATTACTTATTATAAGTATGTTAGTGTTAGTATGTTAGAAAGCAGCATTCTTCTTACCGCTTCATCATCAAACATTGCAGAGTGGCCAGGCTCTTCAGCTTCTGCTAATCCGGGGTTAGGATCTTGGTAGTATGCCTCCTCATAATATCCCTATCCGAAGAGAAAATGTTTGGGATGTCACTTAAATACATGTTGCATTTCTGCTAGTTTCTCTCACTTAAATGTCTATAGCTGATGATAAGCTGCTCTCATTCTTTGATCTGTGCAGGGAGACCTCTGGTTTTCCTTCAACTGCTGTAGTTTAACCCGTTAGCTTACTTAGGATGCTGACAGCCCCTTTGTGCACTAGAGGCTAATAGATATTGTGCGTGGTTAATGTTTCTGTATGGCAAAACGGCTCTGTATATTTTTGGTTGTATTATTTATAGATGTGAAGATGCTCTTCTTGTATTTGTGCCACATTAACATGTATACTGTAAACAGTATCTGTAGTATGTGGCTGGATAATGTGCAAATGCATGCATGCCTGAACCATTCATGAAGTGAAGGCTTCCAGAAGGTTTCCATAACTGCACTCACATCTGATATATATACACAGTATAAGATCCTGTATGAGTCATGATTACCTGAGGCAAAGCTTCTGGGCCTGCCATGGGCTGTTGATACTGAGGATATTGCCCTCGCCATGCACCAGCTCCCTCATGGTTCCCCCCAAAATCGAGAGGGGCGTCTGACTGACCAGGCTCATCTGTTGGTGCAGGTGCAGGTGCAGGAGGTAGAAGCTCTGTGGGGGCTACTGGCTCAGGGTCTAAGCTTGGGACGGCTGCGGGGAGTGGCTGGGAGCTCTCGCACAGAGAAAAATAGTTCTGTGGGGTGATGTCCTCCTCGTTATCCTGGTCGTCAGTGGCTATCTGTCTAGCCAGCTGCAGGGCGGCTGACTTTGCTGCAGCTTTGATAGCAGACGGGGATGCACTAGAACCAAGCAGACCCGGAGCGGCCGTTCCAGGCTTGGGTCCTTTGGGTTCTTGGCGCTTGGTGAGTGTGTGAGGAATCAGGAGTCTGTCTGTCTCCTTCACTGTCAGGTTTTTGGGTTGTGGTAGAAGGGAGGACAGACCTGAACCTGCACCCTGGAAGAGGTAAGAGATATGGATAGAAAGGGGCATCGTGAGGTCAGGGAATGGCAGCTACTTTCTGTAGTCTGATACTGCGATGAAATAATATATTCTGCGTGTCATTGGTTCTCTGCATATTTTTTATATTTTTAGCCTAACTAAAGGAGTAGAAATGTTGAGAAGAACATCAGAGGCACAAAAGAGGGAGGTGGTAGAGTTAAATCTAAACTGGCATGGGTACCGTAAGACTCTGTCAAACACTTTGCATGCAAAACGTTCTGGGTGCTAGTTAAACTCCAGTGTTTTTTTGTTACAAATAAGCTTTATATCACGTGTAAACATTCCCATAAAGTTATTATAAAAAGGTCTCACGTGACAGTTCATTTATCATCTTAGATAGACAGAATGTAACAAGCATGTTTCAATGTTAACCATTCAACAGTTTTGAGTGTTCAACCCTCTTTCAAGAAAAAATGACTTGGGATAATAACAATTCAGGTAACTGTGAATGTAGTTGCACACAGTGAGCAAAAATTCTTACCTGAGGTTGTAGTTTCTTTTTTGCTGGTTCATCATCATCAGAATCTGACTATGGACAAGAAATACATAGATTAGGAATTACAACCTGATCATATACCGCAGGGGGTACAGTAACTATAAGCAAACGGCTGATCTGACTCACATCCCGCCTCTGTATCTGTGGTACAGTGATCTTGACAGGTTCAGTTCGCTTCCTCGGCTTCGGCAGACTAGAAAATAAGCCTCCTTTTGATGGCGGAGGACCTAGGTCATCGTTTGACGTGTCCCCTGCTGAAGGGTTCGCTTTTGCCTCCTTGCTCGCTCCATAGTTTCCTCCTGCCGATCCTGGCTTTTTAGGAGCAGGCAGGAGAGAGAAAAGCCCTCCTGCGCTGACTTTGGTCTCCAGTGCGACAGAGGTCGAGGTTTCTTCTGAGTCACTATCATCACTGCTGCCATAAGCGACTAAAGACATGTTTGCTGATGTTATCAAAGATGGTTAATCTGCAGTAACTCGTGGACATGGATAACCACTTCCCCTTGATTAACGTTAGGTCTCAAGAAGCCGTACTCACGCTTTCTGACGGGCTCAATTAAAGGTAAGGTTAATCTTCGATCAATATAGCCACACAAATAATTATATAATTCCCAGTGGAGCTGTAGTATCGTGAAAAACACAGCAGGTTAAAAGAGGGCCTCGCAGTGAGCTCATTAAATGAAAGCACTGTCCCAACTTTGCAGCGCTAGCTAATGTTAGCTAGGCCGCCGCAGCAAACGATTTTAGCTAACTGATCTGCTCTAGCTAAGTCAAATTAAATTTGTCTCCGACCTCTTATTGCACATAATACGAGATCGGTTGATGCAGCAGCTGTGTTTGACGCCACAGAAGCAGAGCAGTTTAGTCCCTATACTCCATCAAAACATTCGCCTCCATCATTCATGATCCAAGAAACAACTGCGCAGCCTTCTGCGCAGTTGTTTCTTCTTCTTCTTCTGTTTGTTATCAGTCGTTAAACAGCTGCAGGGCATTAACGCCCCTAACGGAGCGAGTGTGTTTAAACATCAGTTTACTTATTTGAACATGAAGAATCAATTTCTTTAGTAATCTGAAAGATTAGTCTAGGTTTTTAAAACTTATGTTTAAATGTGACTACATTTAGGCTAACAATGTCATAAATGAATAAAGACTTAAGCACTGTGCTCCACAAGTGTATTCCTGTCAGTGTGAAACACCTTTTAGACGCTCATGTCATTCATTGAACAGTTAACTGAATGAATAAAACATGAAAAAAATCCAAGTAATTAAAAAATGAATTTGGTTTCTCACAGTTTTCTTAGGGAGTGAGGGGTGTGTTAGCAGAACCTGACTTCAGTATTTTTTTCGGGCTACAGCCCTGTTGGTGATCCACCCTACTCTTCTGCCACTGGTATAGCAATTCAAAAGTATTAAGGATTAAAATTAAGGTCCAAAGCTTGATTATAATTTCTTCAGGAAAACAAAGCAAGAGAAATAAAGTGACTGTCTAAATGACTACCTTGTGAGTCAGTTAAGTTCACTTAACAACTGCCTCTGTGATGTCAAAAAATTTCCTTTAGCTGAACTCAAACAAAACAGAGATCCTTGACCTTGGGTCCCAGAGTCTAGCAAAACAAAGTCTGCCATCTGCTGTTTCCCGAGTGGATCATATGAAGCCTTTTGCAAGGAAAGTTGGCATCTGGCTTGACAGTAATTTAACCTATGACCGGCGCACCACAAAGCTTGTGCAATCATATTTTTACAATATTAGAAATATATCAAAAATATATCCATCTTTTACCATTTTACACACCTTCATCTCATTACGCCTGGATTATTGCAACAGCCTTTTTACGTGCCTGAACCAAAAATCTCTTTATCGATTCCAGAACTCAGCTGCCAGGCTTTTATCCAGAACCCAGGAACGGCGTCACATCACTCCTGTTTTAGCCTCCTTACTCTGGCTCCCAGAATGTCTTAGAATAGATCTAAAGATTTTACTGATTACTTAGGGCTGAAAAAAGGGGACAGAGTCTTTGCCATCAAGGTCCCGAGGTGCTGGAACAATCTACTCAAGGAAATCAGGTTGGCTGAGTCAGTGATCTCCTTTAAGTCAATTCTTAAAACATACTTTTATCGGAGAGAATTTCTTGAGTTTTAATTGCCTTTGAAGTGTCTTTTACTTGCTTAAATGTTTTTCTTGTTTTTTTATTATTTTCTTTTAAAAACAGATGGTTTTATGACTTATAATTATTATTATTATTATAAGGCTAAAAGCATGGACAACCCTGTTGTCATGCTGTGCACTTTTTGGTCCTGTGCTGTTTTCGTGGTTTGGGCCAGGCCTAGGCAAGATTACCAAATGTGTGCAACTTCCAGGACCCCAGACCCTTAGGGGCTGCAAAAGCCCCAGGTTTACTTCATCAACTGAAGAAGGGCTCACAGTTCATTTTTGCCCTGCAGCCCATTCTAAATTTATGGGGAAAAATGTCCTTTCCTGTTTCAACATGCCACTGTACACAAATCAAGGTCCATAAAGACATGATTTTGTGTTTGGTGTGGTAGAACTTGACTGGCCTGCACAGAGCCCTCATCTCAACCCATCAAACAACTTTGGGATGAATTGGACCATAGACTGCGAGCCAGGCCTTATTGCCCAACTTGTGGCCGACCTCACCAGTCCCTGCAGCCAAGTCCCTCAAAATCGTGTCCCAAAATCAGAGAAGTGGAGGCTGTTAAAGCAGCATATTAATACCTGTGGTTTTAGATTAAGGTGTCTAACAATCATGTAACGGTCTAATATTTGGGTTTCCACATATCTATAAAATTTGGATTTAAGCAGTTTGTGACAGATAGTTCGTATGCAGGGTAATGAGAATCTTACCTGATAATGGATAGATCTGTGCTGTATGTGGGAGAAAATGGGGGACTGTCAGATAATAACAATACTGAAAGAAATATACTTTTTCTACAATTGATTTGTGGCTATGAACTGTATGTTATAGATTTCTTTGTTTCCTGTTACTTTTCTCTTGCTTTATGCAACCTAGGTCACAGAGACTACAATTTAGCTGTGCTGTGTCTTTGAAGAAACTAAATTCAAGTGATTTCTACATATTTTGGGTTAATCTGACACTTTACTCTAACTGGCATCTCCAAAGCTGTGTGAAACAAATGTCTGAGCTAAGGGGGCAAAAGATCAAAGTTAGATAGCAGTGTCTTGTTCCAAACACTTCAAATTAATACCAAATTCAAACGGTCACAAAATCCTTCCTTCCCATTCAATTGTTTGACACTTAGCTTTGGGAAATAATAGGGTGTTTAACATTATGCTATACAAACGCTAGCCTAAAACTCATATTTAATTTGAAAACATGGATTACCAACTGGCAAAGTGGGCAACTGCCCTGGACCCCAGAAGTTACAGACTTATCCTGATTTGATTAAAATTGTGCCACAAAACCACATTGTTAACTCACATGCTAAGGGCTTTAAGGTGTGCCCCCCATACTGACCTTGAGGCCCTGTCTTGAAGAGTGTGTTTGTGTCAAATTTTATTGTAATACCTTCATTATCTTAATTTGGTGCTGTGCTAATATAGAGTCTCACAAAAGTTATTTTGAGGGGACAGCAAATTTACAAGGTACAAGGTAAACAAGCTGTACACGCACTACTTTACATTGTAGCAAACTGTAATTTCTTCAGTATTGTCACATGAAAATATATAACTCACTTTTGTGAGATACTGTATCTAAGCCCTGGTTTAGTATTTCAGCATAGAAAGCAGAAGAAATATTGTTAACGTGAATTCCTATCTCAGTCAAACAATTATCCTGCAAACCTCCAAAGAAATAGCTCAGTTATTGACTTCTTCCATAAAATTAGCGCTGTTTCATGATAAATATACCTTCAATGTGATGTTTTGGTCAACAGGGGCGCTAACTGTGCAGCTTCATCAGGTACTGGGGGCGCGTCTGCAAAGTGGGAAGCGGTTTTCAATTTCAAACCCAAACAGTCCGTGGAACGCGCCATTGGACTGTGGGATAACGTTCAAACCAAATAGTTACCGCGTTTAGTTGTAGAATTTGTAACGCAATTAAAACCGAAACCAGACCGGCATTACTGGCCGAGGTTACAATCCACAGAATCCGCGAAATAAGTCGCTCACCGCGTCTTCGCTCCAGTTTTCTGCGCCCGGTTAATTTGGATGACAAACCGACGCTTGGCTTGTTTGTTGCAGGTGTTTACTAATTCGCATACGGTAACTTACCACATTGAAACTAACACTGTGTTTTAGCTAACGTTACACATCTGACATAGCAAGCCATTTCTGCAAGAAACATGCCGAGGTCCAACAGGCAAAGAGAATACAAACCTGGAGATCTTGTATTTGCTAAAATGAAGGGGTATCCACACTGGCCTGCGAGGGTAAGCACCTGACGTTCAATATCTTGTTTCCAGCTTTAGATTTGGTATTCATTTCAGTCTGGCTTGCTCCTATCACTTGTTTACCTGTGAGGCCTAACAGCAGTTAGCGTTAGCTACCATGAGTTAGCCTAAATTGGTCGTGTTAGCTAACGTTAACGTCACCCAGCATCCAAACTCAGCTAACGTTAGCCAACTGTAGACAGTTTCACATTTCTTTCGGGTGATTCATCGAGAAAACAGACACCACAGCACCCCGGCTCGGTTAACTATTTATTAATGTTTTTGCTAGCTGCTCTTTGCCTCCGACGTTGCTATTCATGTGCCGCTTTAGTCTCCCGGGGGGCCTGTTAGGTTTGGCTAACGTTAACTTAAAGCTTTTCGGACCGTTAAAAATAGCAGTCGGGTAATTTCGGCTACAGATTATCGGTCATGTCGTACATAACGTCTGTCCAGAAGCATCTTGACGTTAACGTTGGGCTACCTGAGGACTCAGACACGAAGCCATGTTGTAAATTAAGTTAGCTAAGTTAACGCTACGTGGTGAAGTTTTTTTTTTTCTTTATGAACTGTTGCATTAACGCTACAGACTACATGGCTGCTTGTGTAGTAACGTTACAGCCATATGCTAAGTAAACAAATGCTTGCCTGCACACACTTGTTGCGTTACGTTAACAGTGTTTCAGTCCGTTATGTTTAAATACTTCCATTACGCTTAAATGTGGTCCAAGCAAATAAAAGAAGTGGTGTAAGACCACAACGTGATGTCTACCCAGTCCATAAACACACATTAGCGTAATATTTTTGTCAGCGTTTCCTAATCATTCAGCATGAGAGGAAAGGAGAACTTTTGGCTCCAACAGGTTCCGTTTCCCTCTAAAACGCGGCGTAACTCAGGGTTTTATAAGAATAAATTGGAGATAAAAATAACCAAAATAGGATTGCGCTTTACTACACTAGAGACAAAACAGAAAAATGTGGAAACAAGTAACCCCTAACCGCAACTAGCTTGCACAGTTCAAAAGGAAACACTGTATTGCTGTTTCTGTTACAAACCAATTTGTCTCAGTCTTATCAGCCATGCACCATGGCAGGCTGCAGGTCCTGCCCCACCTATCCTGACAGAGTGGCCCTATCTGGGAATGCCAAAAGGCCTGTCTGGTAGAGGCAAACGGACGCCACGCTCAGCCCTCAAAATAGTGCTTTCCTGTGTCTTGATGTGCTCTTTTTTTTTAAAAAAAACACAAGTTAGCGCCAAACTGCACTGCAAGGATGTTAAACATGAGAAATGACAAGTGGAGTGGCCCCTGTTCTCAGTGGGCTCATTAGGAGTTCAAATTGAAGTGCATTTTGCAGTAGCTGGTTAGTAAATACCTCAGGTGACTGTCCATTGCTATAAGCCTTATTTAGCAGTAAGACCCATACTGTTGAAACAGTTAATTCATTAGTCCATTCAGGGTTTTTTTAAATGAAGTAATTGACATTTATCAAGATAAATCTTTTCTGATTCAAGCCTCTAAAACATGAAGATATGCTGCTCTTTCATCATTGTAAATTAAGTATTTTTGTTTTTTTGAACTGTTGATCTGACTGAATGACTTGAATATGAGCAATCTGACCTTGAGACATTGTTAATAATGATGAAATTCAAAAATGGCTTGCACAGCTGCTGCTGATTGATCTGGTGTAAGATCTGTCTGTTTTAGAAAACATTCACATTGTCGCTATCTGTATGTATGTTCCTGCTCTGAATCTTTTGTTGTTGTTGGGTTGTAACTTTGATCTTGTGCTCCTGCGTTTGCTACTTCATAACAGAATTTGTTGCATGTATTTTCTGATAGCGTCCTTTCTTAAGAAGAGGTTTTATTAATTTGCAGATTGACGAGTTACCTGAAGGAGCTGTGAAGTCCCCCTCAAACAAGTACCAGGTGTTCTTTTTTGGGACTCATGAGACGTGAGTAATGTGTGTTAATCTTATTACTTAATAGTGGTAGAAGCTCAGAGCAATTGAGAATATTAAAACAAACATCCAAAGTGAATTAATTTCTGACAATTAGGAAATGCAAGTTTTTAATCAGTATTTATTTTTGGTTAATCACATAATTTAATGTAGTACATATAAATGTCCAGAAAAAGACCATGTGTATGCACAAATGACAAAGACCCGGCTAGAAAATGTAAACACCCAGCTTTTAAAGGGATAGCAAGTGATTGTAATCCAGTACACTTCTTGCGTATTTTTTCAGTCTACATACACTGTGGGTCCCCTTATATGGAAGTCGCGGTATTGCGCCGCCATGTTTCTACAGTAGGCTAAACAGACAACTGCTCTTCAGACCGCGTTTCGTCACTATGTTGAATACGTACGAAGAAGTAGTAGTAGTCGTCTGGTTTATTAGAAGTAAGAAGAGAAGTGAAATTTGTACAGCAGAGTACCACACATTATTTAGCACAAGAGCTTCTCCTCCGTGCTTGCAAAGGGAGCGGTGGCTGGAGTAGTATGTAGCTGCAATACCGGAGGCTGCAGATTCAAGACAGCAATCCTAGGACCGGAACTGCATTTGTAGGACTCTAGTTTACTTTGATACTGCCAGCTCTTGACAGCCCCCTGAAGCCAATTACCCTTACCATCACAGGGTGTGTGCCTAAACCTAAGTTATTGATTATATGCATGTCAACCGGTAAACCCTACAGCTGCGCACATGGCTGACGCGCTAGCAGACAGAGTTAACCTCCTTCATGTTGCTGTGCATTATCACCACCAATCCACTAGATGGCGCTGTCGCAAAAGAACTACAGTCCTAGAACTGCAGTCCCAGAATTGTGGGGGTCCTGAAATTGCAGCTATATAATATTGGATGGCTGAGGAGCAATTGTTGACCCCCACTACTAGATGCCACTAAAGCTTACACACTGAACCTTTAATAGACCATAATATTTAAAACCGTTCATTTTGAAATATAAAATAACGATTGATATGGGGGGGGGGGGGGGGATTATTGAAATGTAACAGTTTTGGTTTTCATTGTTTTATATTGAATTGGCCTCTAATGTGCCTTTTCTAGCTTCCACCTCAGACACAACTTTTTTCAGTTTCTTCAGTCGTGAAATTCGTTAGCTTTTTTTCCTTTAGTGGCCAGGGGCTGGTTTCGTGGAGTAGTGGCAGTATGCTGATTGCAAATGGCAGGCACGTGCCTGTCAATTTATGATCATGATTTACTGACATACGCATGGAGGTAATAACAAAATTGGCCACTGGGCAAGTGTCATGAATCCACTTATTTTATATGCAAAGTAAGAACATTCTACACACACATTAGTGAATGAGGCCAATTGTCCCCAGATGATGCATCATGAGGTGTTGGGTGACCTTTGACGACTTGTCACATAAATTTTAGTTTATGGCTACGTTCAGACTGAAGGCCAAAGTGACCTAAATCCGATTTATATTTTTTTTGCCCATATGTGACTCGGATCTGATCTTTTTATGACGATGTGAACAGGCCAAGTCACATGGAATCTGATCTTTTCCAGTTCGGAATTGGGCCACTTCCATATGTGGTCCAAATCTGATACAGATCGGATCTTTTTAAATGCGACCTGAGTGTGGACACTCAGATTCCCATTCTTACCCCTGAAATCCACCAGACCGCAAGCTCTCTTCTGAGTTATGTGCATGCTATTTGTCCGAGCGGACGCAGTGCGGGGGGAGAGAGAGAGAGTGTGAGATGTGGGGCAGTTGCCCAGCGCCAGAAACCGTAAAGAAAAGAACAGAAAGTTGTGAACTCCAGTCGGGAGAAATGTGACCCGTGAGGACAATGGAAAAACAGTAGTCTCCCGCGAGCTAACCAGATGTATGTTGCTCCTTGTTTACTTCTGTAGCCTGCTACAGCGTGCTGCGTGTGACGTCATGTTATTCTTTTGCGCATGCAGGTCACTTTCAGGCCACGGACAGTATACACTGGGGTCTGATATGGGCCACATTTAAACACTAATGTGAACTGTCAAACAAAAAAACAAAAATCGGATTTGGGGAAAAAACTCGGAATTGAACATTAAGGCCTGCAGTGTGAACGTAGCCTATGTGATATGTATCTGATCTATTGTCAAGCCAAAATTCGAATTTGCACACAAGAAATATCTAAGTCTAATTCAAGCTTTGCCTTTACGTACTCCACTGCTGGTAACGCTCTAAGAATACCAAAGGTCTGAGTATGCTGTTAGTCCTGTGAAACAAAAATAATTACAATAATTAATCTTGATTTTATCTTGATCTACTTGATAAAATTTGAGTTTCTGTTGATCAAGTAATTACGGAAATAGTAATTTCATAATTAGAATGTGTTGTCATTTATCAAAATGTCAAAATAGACACTGCTACTTCTCTTGGTGCTGCACAATAGTTGCCCACTACCCCAAATTAGGATGGGTTAAATGCAAAGACGAACAAATTTCCTGTCTGGGATCAATAACGTATAAGACACAAAAGATAATGCCACACTAACACCTCAGCTAGAAACAAATTATTAAATTGATATGTCAATGGATGTACACAACTTAGAGATATAGTTTATGTTAATATCTCTTATGTTTGCTCCCCACAGGGCATTCCTGGGGCCCAAGGATTTGTTCCCGTATGATGAACATAAGGAAAAGTTTGGAAAAGCAAACAAGAGGAAAGGCTTCGCTGAGGGACTGTGGGAGATTGAAAACAACCCCACTGTCACGCACGAAGGCTACGAGGTGTGTGTATTTCTAAGATGGTGGTTGGTTGGTTTTATTCCCAGGGGAGGTAAATGAAATAGGTGCACAAAAGAAACTGTAATGAAGTGATGCCAGAAATGGCAGCTACAGAAAACCTCTCTTGTTCTCAATTCAGCTTCTTTTGCTGAATTGCTTTTCAACAGGCAGCACAACTAATCACATGATATTTTAGACCAGTCATGCATTGTGGAAAAACTTAAAGCCATTTTCCCTACAAAAGTCCTCTTGTCTGTATCAACCTGGTGAAATTAGTTTCTGCACCAAATACGTTACTCTGAGTTTTCAACCTGATATTTTTGGCTTCGAAGTAACTGGCACCATCCTCTTGTAAGCATTCAACATTAGAATGGATGTTATGCTAAATAAGAAAGCTACCTTGTTTTACCAATTAAAGACAACATTTAGACTTTGGGGTGTGCACTGTGTGTGTTGTTACTCAAATAATTTTGTTGTCTCTCACTAATGTCTCCATATCTGCCTTTAGTCATCGAAGAAGGACAACGCGTCAGAGGGAGCAGGGGAAACGGGTAGTTCGGAGAAAGCAGATGCAGAGGGCAGCAGTGATGAGGATGAAGGGACCCTGGTCATTGACGAGAAGAACGAGAGGGGAGGAACTAAGCGAAAAGCAGAGGAGTCCACAGAGGTGAGATTTACCCGTCGAGTCTGTCAACAATAGTCAAGCGCTTCATAATTAGTTTATAGTAAACAGCATTGACACTTGTCAAACCTTTTTGTAAGGCATCTCCCAAGCGGCCGAAGGACACAGAGGCGGAAGGGGACTCTAAAGTAGACATCAACAAGTCCAACACAGAGGCCAAGCTCAATGATGTGGCTGGACCTAAGGCAACTGCTCCCTCCTCACAGAGCGAGTCAAAACCAGAGGCCCAGGAAAACGCTCCAACAGCAGAAAAGGTGAGACGTGCTCGTTAGTAGTGTTTGTTTTGGGTGGTTTTACCCGGGAAACATCCTATTTTGATTTAATATGAGTTTGGGCCATTCTGCTGTTTCTGCAGGTTTTAACCGCAAATATGCCTAATATGATTTGCAAAATATTCTGTTAAGTGTGGATATTTTGAGGACCATGCAAAAAGTAAATGGATAAAATAGTGTGTGTTTATATGTGTATGTATATGTATACATACATACATACATACATACATACATACATACATACATACATACATACATACATGTGTTGTCTGGAATAATTGCTCTCCACTCTACTTTTCTCTGCAGCCTGTGACAGACAGCGCTTAACGTCAACTCACAGAAGAAAACCAAGAACCTTTTGACGCTTTTCTCTGAAATTCAAGCATCACCATGATTACCTGCAGGATGCCAGATTTCAGCTGTTTAATAATAGAATTCAAAAAAAAAAAAAACCAACAAAAAAAAGCGTTTGTATTGAGAGACAAACAAATCCTCATTTGCCATTTTTGGGATATCATATATCCTAGAAACAAAAAGTTTGCTAATCTGATTTCAAACAATTGAAATGAGCACTTTAAGGCTCGTTTATAAATGGGATTTTGGTGTGTATATATTTTTTATTTCTAAGTGCAATTACATAATTACAAAGACTGAATGCTAGGTGTCAAACTTTTTTTTTTTTTCAGTTTAGAGGGATTAAACACTGAATATATATAGTAAATTAAAAAAAAAAAGGAGAATGTTTAAACCACACAAAAAAGATTAAAACTCCTATTTGATGGTTTTAAAACAGATATTGTACAGAAATAAGAACAAATTTTCACCCATGCTCTCAGCTGTAGTTTATAAAGTAAATGTTTTACTTCCATTTGTGTCACCTAGCTTCTCTGCCTCATCTTAAATCATATATTCATCCATTGGATACATGAGGAGTTGCACTTTCAGAATGTTTTTATTTTTTTTATTTTTTTTTGCCCCATTAATCATTGTCTAGTTCACTGTAAGACATTTTTATGCAACACAGGTTTTGTTGCTTTGGTGTAGTGTATGCTTCATTGCAGGTGACCAAATTACGTGATTTCATTTCACCAGACTAAATATGTAAAGCCCATTTCAGAACTATTTTAGGATCAAAACAGTTACTTGGTAAACCCCTCTGCAACTTTCTTTAGCTGACCACGCATTATAGAAAGTAGAAAGACATTCCTGATTGTTGTCAGAGCTCAGTCTTGAAACTTTGTCGGGCTGGAGCTGTGGCAATTATGGGGGTAAAAGTTTGTCACCACATTTTTTTGCATAAATTATCTGGCAAACTATCAAAAACATCAACTCTTAGTTTCCTGTTTATTATATTTTCTTAATTAGCTCACCTGATTGCTGCCATTGCTTGATACTGGAGATGTAATTGTGAAGCGTTCAGTAATTGGTTGTACCAAATATGTTTAATTTTTTCAGGTCTGAAATATATTGCTGACATTGTTAATGCCAACATCTATGATCTTAAGAAATTGAGAAGTGAAGTGAGGAGAATCTTCAAAGTAAACTCTCTACTGGAATATGATTCTGTTTTACTTTTAATAGTATTATTTTGGCTGTGAAACAAAGTTGTGATGTTTTTAAAGATGTGTTTTTGTTTAGACAACATGTTGTTCAAAATGTGGTGTTACTATTTTTCCACTGTAGGTAATTTTTAAGGTTCCAAGTTTTTACAAATGCTAGACCTGTCACCATGTTACTTGGATGTCATTGTCATCGCTTCAGTGTTCTTTCCTATACTTGGCAAAACGAGCCCACAGTTAATCAAATGACGAACCTAAGGGAAATCTCAGCTTTTAAAAAGTGAAAATAACTGCGACTGCTGCGTCTAAGTTGGCTTATAGCCACCTGCGCTGCACCACTGATTTCAAACTACAACGGTGGCCCACTCAAATCTTGAAGTCCATGGGTATAATTTGGCATTAAAGTGTGATTCTTGGTTTGGCTTTCTCTGTTGCTTTCGGAAGCTGTCATTCATCTTAATCTGCTGCTTAGTTTACTGTTGTAGTTGCCGGTCCATTTAATAAAAATGTTGAATACAAAAAAAAACTTGATTTTGTCATGTTTATATTCAGTAAACTCTACTTGTTTATAGTAGATTAGACACTTCCTCAGTCTGGAAAGCACCTCAACAATCTGATCTTAGTCATTGTGTTATTTTTAACCAACACACGTGTTATATTTTTTATATATATATATATATATATATAAACCATCCAACCAGACCTAATTAATCATTTCACATTAAATCTTTCACTGTTACAAATGTATGAAACTCACTATGGCACCTTTTTGTGTGTGTGTGTGTGCACTTCTCACAAATAATTCCATCCCAGAAGAGCCTCGCTGCACAGTTTGGGGCTTTAGGCTGTGATAGCTGAAGTAGTTGTGGTGTTATGTAACATGTCCTGACAGCTTTGAATTTGTCATGGGGTTTGATTGAGTATGTGTTCTTTAAATACGCTGTTTAGGAGGGGACATAATGTTTAAAGTCCACGTTCATTTGTCCTTTTCATAATATCCATGAGCTTCTGGACTAAAATGTTTTCAAAGTATTGATTTGTAAATGTTCTCTGTGGCTGCTGGAACATCTGGTTCATAAGATTAATGACTGCTTCAGCGTGCTTACATGTATGATTGCAGGTTTTCAGAAACCAGCCTCTTGTCTCGTGGTATATGGGTGCTATAAATATCTCTGAGCCTTGCCGCAGTATTACTACAGAATGGCTTGCAATAACTCACCCACTGTATCTGCTTTCATGGATGCTCATAACATGAAATAAGGGCCCATTTCAACAGTCAACCATTGAACTGTAGTGGTAAACACATTTAGTTTTGAAAATAGTTTTACTCAGCACTTTTCCATAACATCTTAAATCCAGACAGAATGTCACAGTTGCAAATGAGCATGAAAATCTATATTTTTGCTAAAAATATATTTCCATTATATTTATCATCAAAACCAGAAAAAGAAAAAATTGGTTGAACAAGTAATTTTGCAAAGGGTGGCACGGTGGTGCAGTGGTTAGCACTGTCACCTCACAGCAAGAAGGTTGCGGGTTCACACCCCCAGTTGCCCCGGCCTTTCTGTTCAGCTGGGATTGGCTCCAGCCCCCCTATACGCAGGATAAGTGGTAATTAGAAATGAGGTTGCAATACTGGTTGGACACATGCCATAGACTCTCCGCCCCTCACTGCCCCATTTCCATAAACAGCCAACCAGTAGAAATTGTTGACAGTTTCAGGTACCTATGGACAATAAACTTTTTGTTTTGATCACCGCTTCTCCTGTATCGTAGCATTACTACCTGCTATTTCACCATGCTCTCTCTCACCAATAGGAATAAGTTTCTTAAAATCACTAACACTTCCTGCAAAATAATAGGTCTTTCCACTCCCAACCTGCCAGGCCTCATTAATACTGCCACTGCTCTCAGAGCAACTACCATAGTACAAAATCCAGCCACCCTCTTAACTCATGCTTCACCCTTCTCCCATCTGGCTGTAGATACAGACAGCTGCTCTACAAAAAGGCACGCTTTGGGGAAAGTTTTGTACCCTACGCTATAAGAGCGTTAAACTTACAGACAAGTTAATGATGTCACTCCTGTGTTATATGTGTAGGTATGTGTATACATTGTTTGTATATGTGTGCTATGGGTAGTTTGTGTGTGTAGTATTCATGTTGAAGGTGCTCTTTGTACAGACTGAAAACACATTTCCTCCACTGAGAACAATAAAGAATGAATCTGAATCTGAATACAGCTCACCTGGGTGATATTAAATGAAGGACAAATGTTACTCCTGTAAACACATGATTCATTGATTCAGTAATCTGTACATTGTTAATCAATGAAATCTGAGCTGATACGAAGTGGTTATATTGTACCTTGTATTAAAGGACAGTGTTTTGTTTTTAAAGGTAAGAATTTCGCAAGACAGACCTAAATTCCATTCATTTTCCCATTGATGCTATACGTGTTATTAGCTTTTCCTAGTAATTATTGCTGCCCTTACTAATATGCATTGTCAGTTGTCAATCTCATGCTGTATTGAGGCTTTCTTGATGCTTTAATGTTGTCCTCAAATGTAAGTCGCTTTGGATAAAAGCGTCTGCCAAATGAGTAAATGTAAATGTAAATTCCAAAATAATGTATCTTTGGCATGATCTTACTAAGACCCCTCTTATTTCATTTTGACTCAATGATATGTAGACTTACTATAAATCATTTGTGCTTTGAATACACTGAAGTACACAGATAAAACAGAGAGGTCATCTTGCAGTCAATGCCAGCATCCTGCCCTGAAAAGCAATAAATGCGCATGCGTGCAGCTAGGCCACACCCTCCTGTCCACTAGGGGGCACTGCTTGCTGATGTTGGTGTCGGTGCTATTACATGTGACATTGACAACAGAGGGTAGGAATTTTTCTGCATGATATGTTCTTAACTCGTTTTTTTGTTAAACATAAAAACTTCAGCTACGGTTTACTTGACAAGAGAGATAGTAATAAGATTTTGTTGTGTTAAACGTTAGCATGTGTTGAGACAGAGTAGTGTCATGAAGGGAGACTAGCCACCTTTTAAGCTAATATGCTAACCTTGATCAATTTTGTCCCTGCAGCACAATGAGGCTGACCGCTCTCCTGTCGATGGCAGCCAGGGTTGTGGTGCCCAAAGATTTCCGCTACGGCACCAACAGACCGTGGACTCCTGCTTCTAAGAGACTGAATCCTCCGGGGAAGAAGAGGAGAAAGGTGTTTGTGGAGCCTTTAGCACCAGAGGACTGGTGTTTGCTCAGAGGGGACACAGTGAGTAACTCTCACGACTTAGGAAATTCAGCTGAAGTCCCAAATCCTCATAAGCAAGTCAGTTGTGAGCATATGAATCGTTAAGGTCACGTAATGTTGACATTATAATGATAAAGGATTTGGGCATTTTTCCTTCAACGCTGTGGTAAAGGTTCAGTGTGTAAGTTTTAGTGGCATATAGTGGTAAGGATTGCGAATTGCAACAAATGGCTCACTGTGCATTCAGTTGCTCCTAGGATTAAATAAGTACTTTAAAAAACTGAACTTTGTTCTCCATGAGGTTCTACATTATATGAATTTAAGATCTAAATCCAACAACAAAAAGGCTGCGAAAACTGTCAACATATAGGTGTGGTGCTCTATTTGTCCAAATTTCACATCTTACTTCTAACTAACCAGACGACTACTACTACTACTACTACTACTTCTTCCATCTTGTTCGTATGTATTGAAGTAGGTTGAAGTTCAGGTAGTGATGAAACGTGCTCTGTAGAGTAGTTTGTCCATTTGGGCTACTGTAGAAACATGGGGGCGCAACATGTAAGTGGACCTGCGGTGTATGTAGATGGCTCATTCTAAGGTAATAAACAGTTCATTATGTAAGGTCTTTATACACCACTGGAAACAGTTATGGATATTATGTTGCATTTCTGTCAATAGAGCCTCAGAAATATTACACGCCGGACCTTCTAAGTGTTTTTACATAGCCGAGACCACATTTATTTACGGCATAGACCTTTTATAATTAAATATTTTGTGAATATGACAGCACTGTTCTGAGATTGGGCCATGTGTGTCTTTTAGTTTAAAGTCAAGTCTTTAGATGGTCAAACAGGTCTACAGTTCTGAGAACTTTTGTGACTCAGTATACCATTGAAACAAAACAGGATATCGGTTAAAATGCAGAGGTCAGAAGAACATAGTATATAAAGATCTTAGGCTAATTTTTCAGGAACTAATGGGACTTAGCCAGCTGTCAAACATTTTGTGAGACTTCCACTTGGACCAAGCACAACAGCTGAAAGGAATTGTTTTTGTTTTTTTGAAAAATTAGCACAGTACATACATTGACAAACTCACAATTGAACTTTAGTAAAGATGTAAATGCTGACCCAACTTTAATGGAATATTCTGAAAGAGTTTTTCCGCCATTGATAGCACAATAATTTTGGCAAATCCACAAGTATGCTAATATCCATCCAGCCATCGTCAACCACTTATCCTGCATACAGGGTCGCGGGGGTTCTGGAGCCAATCCCAGCTGACTATGCTAATATCATTAAAAGTACTATGTTTTCCATAAATGCTGCAAGACGATCACTCCTCCCTTTTTTAATGTGTTAGTACAACTTCAGTTATGTATCTGTTTGTCATGTTTTTCGTCAGGCTGAGATTCTCGCAGGGAAGGACAAAGGAAAGCAAGGAAAAGTGATCCAAGTCTTCAGACACAGGAACTGGGTTATGCTGGAGGGGCTGAACACAGTAAGGAAGTGATATTTCTCTAAGAGGAAACCAGATGGACATGCTTTTAGGACATTTTGTTATACATTTCATATACCTACTAATTCAATCATTTGACAAACTCACTGTTGTCTAAAAAGAAAATTATAAGCAGTTTCAACAGTTAGCAGTACATTACATCTGTTCTTTCTACGTAGAGTGCTGGTACTTCAACATACACTTAAACAAACTCTGGACATAGAGAGATAATGTTGCCAATCATCTAATTTCACCAAAAAGTTAACAGGGATGTTTTCATGGTCGTTAAATTGTGCCAGTGTAAAACACCATGAATATATACACTGCTCAAAAAATAATAAAGGGAACACTAAAATAACACATCCTAGATCTGAATGAATGAAATAATCTCATTAAATACTCCTTTCTTTACATAGTTGAATGTGCTGACAACAAAATCACACAAAAATTATCAATGGAAATCAAATTTATCAACCCATGGAGGTCTGGATTTGGAGTCACACTCAAAATCAAAGTGGAAAACCACACTACAGGCCGATCCAACTTTGATGTAATGTCCTTAAAACAAGTCAAAATATGGCTCAGTAGTGTGTGTGGCCTCCACGTGCCTGTATGACCTCCCTACAACACCTGGGCATGCACCTGATGAGGTGGCGGATGGTCTCCTGAGGGATCTCCTCCCAGACCTGGACTAAAGCATCCGCCAACTCCTGGACAGTCTGTGGTGCAACGTGGCGTTTGTGGATGGAGCGAGACATGATGTCTCAGATGTGCTCACTTGGATTCAGGTCTGGGGAACGGGCGGGCCAGTCCATAGCATCAATGCCTTCCTCTTGCAGGAACTGCTGACACACTCCAGCCACATGAGGTCTTGCATTGTGTTGCATTAGGAGGAACTCAGGGCAAACCGCACCAGCATATGGTCTTACAAGGGGTCTGAGGATCTCATCCCGGTACCTAATGGCAGTCAGGCTACCTCTGGCGAGCACATGGAGGGCTGTGCAGCCCCCCAAAGAAATGCCACCCCACACCATTACTGACCCACCGCCAAACCGGTCATGCTGGACGATGTTGCAGGCAGCAGAACGTTCTCCACGGCGTCTCCAGACTCTGTCACATGCTCACTGTGAACCTGCTTTCATCTGTGAAGAGCACAGGGCGCCAGTGGCAAATTTGCCAATCTTGGTGTTCTCTGGCAAATGCCAAACGTCCTGCACGGTGTTGGGCTGTAAGCACAACCCCCACCTGTGGACGTCGGGCCCTCATACCACCCTCCTGGAGTCTATTTTTGACCGTTTGAGCAGACACATGCACATTTGTGGCCTGCTGGAGGTCATTTTGCAGGGCTCTGGCAGTGCTCCTCCTGCTCCTCCTTGCACAAAGGCGGGGGTAGCGGTCCTGCTGCTGGGTTGTTGCCCTCCTACGGCCTCCTCCACGTCTCCTGATGTACTGGCCTGTCTCCTGGTAGCGCCTCCATGCTCTGGACACTACGCTGACAGACACAGCAAACCTTCTTGCCACAGCTCGCATTGATGTGCCATCCTGGATGAGCTGCACTACCTGAGCCACTTGTGTGGGTTGTAGACTCCGTCTCATGCTACCACTAGAGTGAAAGCACCGCCAGCATTCAAAAGTGACCAAAACATCAGTCAGGAAGCATAGGAACTGAGAAGTGGTCTGTGGTCACCACCTGCAGAACCACTCCTTTATTGGGGATGTCTTGCTAATTGCCTATAATTTCCATCTGTTGTCTATTCCATTTGCACAATAGCATATGAAATTGTTTGTCAATCATTGTTGCTTCCTAAGTGGCCAGTTTGATTTCACAGGAGTGTGAATGACTTGGAGTTACATTGTGTTGTTTAAGTGTTCCCTTTTATTTTTTTGAGCAGTGTATTTTAGCTCCACCAGATGGAGCCAGTGTCTCCGGTCAGGGTGCAAAGTTGCTGACGAAGAGCACCATAAAAAGCCATTTGGCCACCACCTGTTTGGTGTTTAAAGTCAGAGAACTGTGAACAATTGTTTTCTGTATTAGCATCACAGGTATGTTGGAAAAACCGGGGATTACCGTGGGACCTACATTGCCAGTGAGGCTCCTATTTTGCTCCGTGATGTCGCCCTCATTGACCCCTCAGACAGGTACAGTAAACCTGGCTAGTCTGCAAGATTAAAATTGTGGCTATGCATGGACCTTAACAATAGCTGAACCACAGGTTGGCAGTCATAACAAAGATCCTGGTGTTATTCTGAAAAATAAATTCTAATAAAAAACACTTAAGTGTGACCAACAGAGTTTTGTTTAAACAGTCTGCTTGGGAGATTAAAAAATGTTTAACCAAGTTAGCGAAGAAAATAATCTGTGTACTAAAACGCTTTATCAAATTTTATTGTAAATATTTGTGCTGATATTTACAACTGCATCTGTAATGATTGTTGCTCTAATTTATGTGTGGTTTTTATTCACACTACCTTTGGATATAAATGCCATAAAATAACAATCTTTAAACTACTACAGATATCACTCTGTAAAATAGTTATTAATTGAAGATAAATAGTTATTAATTGAAGATAAATGCAAATGATCTTTGGTTTCCTAGCAGACTAATTGTGAAATGCTGATATTGATCTTCTAGGAAGCCCACTGAGGTAGAGTGGAGATACACAGAGCAGGGCGAGAGAGTCCGAGTTTCTCTCAGGACTGGTCGAATCATCCCGAAACCTGTTGTGGAGCGACGAGATGGCATCGTGCCACAGCAGTGGAAAGGTGAGTGTGTCTTTGTGTTTTGATTTGAGGATGATTCTTTTCAGTATTCAGTTTATTTCATGTGTAGCTGAGTCAGCACATTAAACTGTCTGCCATTCATTTTTCCACCCTGTGCAGATTCAGTGATGCGCTTTGATTGTTTCACAGTGGAAGAAACACATTGCTTTCTCAGCTAGAAGACACGTGGGAAGTGCAAACATTTACCAATGCTGAACAACCTTCCAACTTAACTGTGCTCCCTAAAATAGCTAGATGTACGACATGGTGTCCGACCACATCTGAGGGCAAAGGAGTTGATAGTTTTTTCAAACGCCACACTCATAGAGAGGGGCGAGACATGATTAATTGTTCAAATAGGGAAAATGGTGCACACTTTTGGTTTCTCAAAAAGTGACTGAAATTGTCAAAAAAAATTAAAACAAAACTTGAGGCAGAAGTTTAAAATATTTTTGCGAATTAGGAAAAATTTGTTTCGGACTGATTTGGTTTGATTGTATTACAGAGGAAGAAACATTGTGGATTGCTTACACATCATTCCTGTTTTATGTTAAATATTTTCCTTTATGTTGAGAGTTAAGATATTTCCCGATGATTTGTGGCCCGTCCAACATGGTCGTTGCCTAAAGCAGATACATAGTCATTGTTAAAATTGTCTAATGGTATGGTGCCTGTTCAAATTTATGCTGTTTCATGTTTATACTATTCAAGTTGTATACATTTATGCACGTGCTTCACTTTTACGTCTGACCTCACAGATGGTCCCAAAGACACCAGTCCAGAAGACACTCTAGAAAAGACCTATGTACCATCTCTGAAAACCCTGGAGGAGGAAGTCATGGAGAAACTGGGTATACAGGAGAACAAGAGGCACCGAAGGTCCTACTGGTACTGAGAAGGGAAATCGGAGACACTCGGGCCCAATTGTGCTATCCGGTTTTCACAGGGATTCTGAAGACACCATGGTGGGATGGGAGTCCAGCTGAATGACAAATCAAAAAGAGACTGTGTGAGGATGGCATGAGTTTGGCTTATGGACTGTAAAATACTGGTGCAACATGCATATTACTAAGAAACATTTATTTTTTATTGCAAACATGTCAAGGCGGGGAAACAGATGTGCAACAAAGCTGATAACAGACCTGCAACTTAAATGTTTCCTGAATGGATGCAGATTCAGTTATTTTCTGTTTATTTGTAATTTTGTGAATAAATGTCACTAGTAAACAAATACAATGGCTTATATTTTGTTGTCTACTGGAGTGTAAGTTCATATTACAGTAGAGGAACTTGATATTCTCGACAGTACTGTTAAACCACAGGGTATGAGATAAAACTGGTCTTATCAATATTTTTATATTAATAAATGAGAAGACCATATGTAATGTGAAAGGGGTTCCTTGTACTGATATCCCCCCCAGAGAATTATTATCTGACTGTGCACTTCAGTTCAACTGAGCGGTTTAGCCTCTTCTTAGCTTGTTATTGTTATTGTAATTTGTTATTATTGCACTTAGAAACATCAGGTGGCCACAAACACAACTCCAAATGAATTATAATGTTGGCCTTTGTCTGCTTGATGCTACTGTTTGCTAACATGTTTCCCATATCAAGTGGCCAAAAAAAATCAATTAATGCAGGTTTAGGTTTCCAAAACTTAGGGTTTGGCTTTGATGTATTAGCATCAACATACAGTAACTTGGGACGTGAAAATCAAATTCTCCAGACATTTCCCACACCAAGCAAATACTTGAAAAAACACTCACTGAGCAGGAATGAAACATCAAGTAGATAAGAAGCTACGGAAAGCAGCATTTCAGCTAAGATAACCATATGAAGTAAGCTTGTATTTGGGCAAACACGAGAACAGTAATGACTGCCATAAATTACTTGAAACATGCTTGGAAAGATATCATTATTCTTGGTATTGGCAGGGTTAATAATAGTAATCATTGCAGCCTGTTTGGATTATTCATAAGGCTGAAAATAGTCGTATTATTTTACAGAAGCCCAGACATCCTGCTCTCAAAACCCTAAACCCTTTAGACAAATTAGACTTTCTTTCCTATGTGTCTGGGATAGTGGGGAGGGAAATTGGGAGGAGATGACACAGACTGGATAGTTTCAACAAAGTTCTCACTCACCTCATTTGACTTTTTATTCACTGGCAGGGCGTGTTAGTCAGGTGACGTGGGACTGTTTTTGGATTAGGTTTTAAATATGACCTCACCAATGAATTTATGATCGAGTTAGTTCATCTTTATGATATAAAGTTACAAAAATATCATACAGTCAATTCAAAACAAACTCGTAGTATATTTAGTTAGATATCAAAGTGATATCTGACTAAATATACTATGAGTGTATTCCCCAGTTTCTTCTCATCTTTACATTACCATCTTTTGGAATCAGTTGTGATCAAAATGCTCTTCAAATAGTTACCTACACTACTTCTTGCTTAGGTGCATAGCTCTCCTGTAAGTGACCTACAGGGCCAGTTCATTCTCCCAAAATCAATCCCAGTTGTAACCAAAGCAAAAAATTTCATTTTCAGATCATTTTAATAGAAAACACATGCCTTTCTCCTGTAAGGTAAATTGTGAGGGTGAAATTAAGATTAGATTTAAAGGTTCAGTGTTTAAAATTTAAGACGTCCTATTGACAGAAATGCAATATAATATACATAACTATGTTTTCCGTGGTGTATAAGGACCTGATGTAATGAACCGTTATGTTTTTATTACCTTAGAATAAGCCATTTCTATCTACATACACCGCGGGTCCTCTTAGCCATGTTTCTACTGCAGCTCGAATGGACAAACTGCTCTTCAGAGCACGTTTCGTCACTACGTTAAATACATACGACGATTATTATTATTTAGCACAAGAGCAGACAGAGCGTGTCGGACACCGTAGCTTCTCCTGCGCACTTGGAATAATCAGAATCTTTTTTTCCTCCTTAAATCTTTATTGCAATTAGAGAAATAACGTGTACATGGGTATATAGAAGAAAGAAGTATATAGAACTTTGATTTGTGCAGACTCACATATTGCATATACATATTTTGCAAACATGTTGGTTTAATATGGTTATAACAGTTAGTTTGCTGTCCATGTAGGGGGAACTAGATGTCTGCGTGTTGTTTATATGCTCTGATGATGCTAATCCAACACATCTGTGTAGTAGCGTCCATGTTGATTCCACATTCCGACTTTAGAGCACATGAACACACACTGAAGTCGGAAGAACGACTTGTCAACTCGGGAAATGGGACCATCTGAGGAGCATGTGAATTCACCGTGAGCTGCTGGTTGCAATTCGTAACCCTCACCACTAGATGCCACTAAAACTTACACACTGAACCTTTAAATTATATTAATTAATTAATATGTTCATACTCACTTTTGGAAATATAGGTATATTGAACAGAGCCATTGTTAATATTTTTAGTTACAGCTGACCTTTTCCTGCTAAAACAAAAAATCTAAATGTCTGCTGTGAAAAAAGTCTGTTGAAATGTTAAGCGACATTTTTATATTCACGTAAGTCACTCTCTCCAGCTGGTCTCTTAAGTTTTCCTCACTTGTCCCCCGACATCTTAAAATTGCATTGTCTTGCCATGGTGTATGACTTTTGACAGTAAACTGTCTTCAACAACCTCACCTTGCTAGCTGAGTTTGGCTGTTCCTCACCCAGTTTTATTACTCCTACAACACTGTTTCAGTGATTGTGTTTCAATCTACATGTTGAATTGGTGATATGTGTTATAGTTGTTTACTTGACGATATGCCTGCAAAATCCCTTACTTTGTGCAAGTGAACCTGGAATAATTTATGCTGTTTTGAAGGCAAAGGGTTGATTAAGATATTTCTGATATTTCACTCACTTTGCATTTTGTTAACTGATAAATATAATCTATAGTCATCAATTTTAAAGCATTCTTACTTTACAGCATTTTTCCTCACTTTTGCACAGTACTGTACATATGCAGGGTTTTGTGGCCCTCAAAACACCTTCACACAAACTAACATGATCCCCTGGTACCTGATATGAACTGCAACGGTGTTCAGTTGGGAGGACACCAAGGTTAAAATATGTTTTATTAGCTTCAGTAATTTACTGCAATGACCATAGTGCTAGTACCTAAAATATTAACAAAAAGTAGTGCTTTATTAGTCACAAAATTGCATGGCAGGGTTAATGTGACCATAAATAATTTGTCAGGCACAGGCTTTTTTCACGGCAGACATTTTGACTTGTCATAGCAGGGAAAGCACAGGTGTTCCTAATAACATTAACACTGGCTCTGTTGTATTCAAGTGTCTGAGTAAGACATGGCAGTGTGACAGTGAGACAGCATGCACAATGTCAAGCAGCTAAATGGAATTCAGCCATCATTAATGTATTATTTCGACCTGGGCTTTACCTACTGTGTCAAAATTTCCTCTGTGAAAAAGGCCTATTTGGAGCCGCACGTCGCCTTTATTTTGCCTCGGGGGTTTGGAGACTTTAACAACCTGAGGAGCATTTGTATTCTGTAATTACAGAACATATATGACTTCAAATATAATGGATAGATCAGTATCAGAATTATATCCTGAGTGGGGTGTAGAGAAGGTTTTTAAACCACATTTATTACATCATGTAGGGAGATGAAATGTACTGAAAATATAAATAATCAGTTACATCTCAAATAATACAGAAATATTTTACAGTCTTTTCTTTTTTTGTGTGATTGGTCAATCATTTCTTTGACAAACTGTGTTGCAGTGGGGGATTTGGACTTGTGACCTCAGTACTTCTAAAATCCTGGCTGTAGCCTTGATTACATTGTATTTTTCACTTTTAAGAGTTGCCATAGCAACACTCCAATTAAAAAAAAACTTATGAAAGCCCTTTGTAGCTATGAATATCATGTTTGATCTGTATCTATCAAATGAATGCTCAGTCTTCTTTAAGCTCACCCTCAGCTGTGCATCTATCTGCGATATTGGAGGGAGGCGGCCTATGAAGCGAATAAAATCAAATTTTCCTGGCTGGTTAACCACGAGTATGGATTTACCGAAAGAGCAGGTTCACTAGTTGCCAGATCTCCAGCTGCAGAAGCAACTAACTTTGTTGCCAGGCAGTGACAAAAAAAAAGATGTGTCACAGATAACATAATTGCGTCAAAATTTCACAGTGGCTCTCCATACCCTAATTTCTGGTCAGTGCAGTATAGCATCATGCAGAAAGCATGGCAAGTCGTCGGTTTGGCCGGTGAGTGGATGAGTGCTGCAGTTTTCCCAGACACGTCCCTTCTGAACCAGTTAGCCTCTGCCACTTTGCATCCAAGAGGGAATAAAAGCAGCCAGTCAGCGGAAACATGGTTTTGAGGTTTTGCTTTTATGGGAGGAAAAATTATTCAAAGGCTGCTCGTCTATCCTGTCGTTGCATGAGTGTTGTATGGATTTCAGTCTGGGATTACAGCAAGGTAAAGTGTAATGTTGGTGAAGTGGAACCTTTGTATTGCTACATTTTTTTGCCATTTACACACACAAAGAACAGATTTATGGCCTTCTTATAACTTGTGACGGGTAGATGAGTTTTAAGAATGCCCATCTTTTAATTTCTACTTTGTGGTAAGTTGACAGCAATTCTGGTAACCCAGTTAAATGTAACCACTGAGCATGACTCAGGCAGAATTAAGAATGCATAAAAATAAACTGCAGGCTCTGTATTATAGCTGAGTCACATTGGCTTCTCTGCCAAAAACTAATGAATCTCACCCGGTGGTGCTGGTTGCATGTGTCAGAGTCAAGTTCACCAACAAAAGATTTTTGTTTGTTAATCTAAAGTCATATTACAGCATCCTTTAAAAGCCACTTAATTTGTGTTATTAATTAATGTGTTAACAATTAATTAATTGTTTATAAATGAAGACTTCAGAAGCTCCCTCCTGCTTCACTGACATTATAATCCCCTACACAGAAACAGAGGGATTTGTGATGGCTCGAACATCTCCAGAACATCTGAAGACACTTTTAAACTAAATTTGAGTGTTGCTCTTGACTCACTTGATGATCTAAGCTCAGCTACAATATAATGATAGTGTCTAATTATAGGCTGGTTGTTTGAAGGCTGCTGGAAAATGTAACGTTAGCTTGTACGCAGGTCTGAGGCATGGCTTGCATGCATGTTTGACTGTGTTTGGTCTAATTTAGTCGCTCTCAGTACATTCTTGCATATGACC